CTCTTGACAAATCCAGGATGGCAACTTTCCACACATTTGGACTGAGGCAGAGACTAATCGAAAAATACAATCAATACCAAAGAAGAAATGTTAGGACTCATTATATATACATACAAACATGCATGGATACATACATACATATATATGATTTTACATACATGTATGTATCTAAAATCATTCCAGATGATTAATCATCTTTTTCAGTCAATAGTTTCCCCAAAAAGGACAAGATGAAGCTGACTTCCCGATGGACCAATGGGACCTCCACCCAGGCATGATTCAAGTTCATCTACTTCTCTCCCAATGTGAATTAAGGCATTAAAGAATAATATTGTTTTTCTTATTTGTTATTCGTGTAGCAGGAACAGCACATGCACAAACTTGGGATCTACAATGAAGTCAGATTCAAAGACATCATCTTTTGTCCTTGCTTCTGCTAGAAACGCAAAGTTCCAAAATCTGTGCATATATGTGAAAAGTCTGTGCTTTTTGATTGAATATGTTGTTAAACCTGTGAAGATCCAGACTTTCTGCTCAATGGGTCCTGGCAAAGCTCCAAGTGTTGAATGGAGAAAAACAATTCTGTACCAAGAGGAACCATATTCTGCCAAGTGAACATAGACATTGACTTGTCTCCACTTAGAGGCGGCATCCCTGAGGGGTGCTGTACTTCAATTTTTTCCTAGTAAGTTTTTTGTCCCATTTCCCTGTTCCTGTCTTCTCCTTTTTCTTTGTTTTAACACTTCCACTCCCAACAATTTTCCCCAAACCATCCTCACTCAAGTATTTTATATCTCTCTTTGTTGCGGCATAGCCTCCTGCTTCAATTTTCCTTTTGCCACTAATAACCTTCAAAACTACTTTTATCTGTGTTTTTCCCCCTTTTGTTGGGACAGCTCCTCTTTTTACAATTCCCCCTATACCAATGCCAAACCTGATGGGTTTTTTTGTCTGCTTTTTATTTCCTTCCATTTCTCCCCCTTAATTGTCTTGCCCTCCTTCTTCTTCTATGAATTATTCTTTAGATCTCTGCTTCCCTGGGTTCAGAATTCTATTTAGGCTTAATTTTAGTGATTTTACTGATTTTTGCATATTTTTTCATAATTTCACGTAGTTCTTCTAATTCCCAGTTTTCCATGATGTCCAGTTTCAAAGTTATAGTTAGTTACACAATCCTTGTTTCAGACTTCTAATCCACCTTAGTTTTATCTATTTCAACTGCTGTGGAAAAAAAGCAATGAGAGCCATCTTAGTCTTTGGTTCTTCCTTGATATCCAGTTCCAACATTGCAGTTAGTTGTACAAATCTTATTTCAATATTCTAGTCCACCTTAAATTTAATTAATCCATCTACTTTGAAACCTTTGAAACTTTGAAGCTAGTGCCATCTTAATCCTCCGCAGCAAGAAAAGAAGAGAGCAGAGAAGAGGAAAAAAAAACCTTCGTAATTCCCAGGTTTCATGTTTATTCTTTGCTTCAGTCACTGCTCAAAATAAATCACTTATAATAAGTTTGTAATCAGCCAAAAACTTTTCTCTTCCTCTGCTTTTGCAAATTCAGATTTATGGCAGTTGGTTAATTAACACTTCCCACACAGTCAAGTTTAAGTTGTCCATTATCAGTAAGAGGAGCTGGAAGGAATTCAAACAAAGTAAAAGTATTGGCTTCTGTTTAAGATCCAAAGCGTTACAAACAAAGCATTTCTGGTGGGGGGCGGGCTGGTGTTACAACCCTCCACCTTCCTTTCTTCTTTTTCTTTTGGAAAAAAAGTCCCAATTTGACCATCAGTATTATTTATGTTCTTAAGATATCTTTGCCTTTCCAGGTTTAATTTATAGTTGCGGGTTAGATAAATTCTCTTACCAGGCCTTTCATCTTTCCCGATCTCTGCTTGCTAATTGCTTGACAAAGAGCCAGCAACTTGTCAGTCATGTTAATGACCGTCACCCCGACTCCGATTCATAGGCAAATCTCTAACCCATGAGAGATCAGTTGCTTCTCTCAGGGTCTGATGAGATGCTGCCCTTCTTCGCCCCCACCTCCAGTTGGGGTTCAGATTCAAAATGAATCTTGGAATTGGATTGTCAGGCAGGGTTCATGTGAGATTGTTAAGAGCCCACACATCCCATGTCTGTCCAGCTGGAAAACTTCCTGTCGAATCTCACATTCCTACATTTTCCATGCAGTATATCTGTATTTAAAAGATTATAATCTGCTCATATTAATTTATTAAATTTCTATTCTATTCTATTTATTCAAATAGAATAAAATGTAACGAAGAAAGAATCTTCTGACCAGTAGGATCTGCCCAGAAATCTTCTGGAGTATGTAAAACATCACAANCAGAATACCAGCATGCTGAAGGTGATCAGTTTGGTTTCATTGAAGGCTCCAGGGAGGTTCCTGGCCAGGAAAGCCAATGTAAAGCAAATAGTGGCCAGGAAGCCCATGTAGCTGAGGGTGATGTAGAACATGACAACAGAGCCTTCATTGCATTGCAGGATTATCACTCCAGGTTGGGAGTGAAAGTCAGAATGAGGGAATGGTGGAAAAACTCCCAGCCAGATGGAGCAGATGATAATTTGTATAGCAGAACAAGAAAGGATGATAGAGTTGGCCAAACTCTTTCCCAACCATCTCTTCACTTGGTTTCCTGGTTTTGTGGCCAGAAAAGCCAGCATTACTGTGATTGTTTTGGCCAAGAGTGAAGAAATGGCAACTGAGAAAATGATGCCAAAAATGGTTTGTCGGAGAAAGCAAGTGGCTTTCCTTGGTTGACCAATGAAGAGAAAAGAAGACAAGAAGCAAAGCAGGAGGGAGACCAGAAGGATGTAAGAGAGATCCCGGTTGTTGGCTTTGACAATGGGAGTTTCTCTGTATTTAAGGAATATGACTAAAACAAGGCCTGTGATTAGGAACAGAAGTAGAGCAAAAGAGATCAGGATGAATCCCAGATATTCTCCATAGGAGAGGAAGGTTGCAACTTTGGGGATACATTGGACTTGGCCCTCATTTGGATATTTATCATCTGGACACTTGGTGCATTTTTCGGCATCTGTGAAAAGGAAAAGCCCCCTTTTAAGAGTTTCTTCTTTTACATTTCAAGAAAGACATTTTTATGACAGTTGACATTTTCTGTATTTAATAAAAGCAAAAAAATCAATATTAGGCCCTTTTACTTTTCAAGATATTGTGCACTTTCTTGCAGCCATACCTGCTATCAGGAACATTTTGCAAGATGCATCTTAATATCTTTTTAATAGTCTGTGAAATTGGGGAAAGTTCTTTAATGATAATGTGAAGAATCTTCATTGGAACCTACATTCTTATGAATAATGAATCAATTAATTTTTCAAGGGAAACTTCCTGTATCATGTCAGATGACACTTATTAACATACTGGATCTATCCCCTCCTTCAAAATCTTTTTGCTCTTCTTCCCTTTAGATGAGAAAGTGCATTTTGTAAATTTTAACCAGTTAAACATGTGTTTCAACATCTACAGTAGTTTCATCAAA